TACTTTGTAGCAGCCTTATATTTCCAATATTTAGCAATAGCTTATGACCAAAATATTAGCACAACCATATTTTTGCATTATTTGGCTTGTGCTAACTACTCTTCCTTCCGTTTCCGAAAAGGATGCAATTTGTAGAACAATGCTATGCTAAAGTATACAAAGTTTGACCAAATTTATACAAAAAATTACTAATATTTATCGTACTAAATATGTATCATTAGATCTGTCATGAAACATTTTTCATAATATACTTATTTGGCGTCTTTAACATTAATATTTTTACCTATATATTTTATCAAACTTTAGGCATATTAACCAAGAATGCACCTGGAATTGTATTCTTTTTGAGATGGAGCTCATTCTCACAAACACGTCTACACATATGTGAGAAGATGAGATTGAAAGTGATCCTGACGAGATGGATGATGAGGGAGAGTCGTGATTTATGAAAAATATGTCAATGTTGATGTGGAATTGTGATCTCAAGTTAAATCATTAGGGTCATGGAGAACTTCAGTTATTGTGTGATGCATTGTATTTATGCCATCTCATTTTAATTTGGTAGCTGTGTGATCTGAACTAAGTGTCTGACCCTAGTCATGTGAACTGTGATCTGGACAGTGAACTTTGAACTTGTATTCTAGTCTTCTAGACATGGTGAAAGTGTGAACTGTGCTTAGTTATTTTGTATTGTGAGTGTTAAGCTGTGAGCTCCAGTTTGTCATTTGCATCTAAATCTCTGAATTCATGCTTTACCTGTTTTCCATTGCAAAAGGTTTAACCTGTGAACTTTTGTGCGATTGTGATTTGTGAATATAAAGATGTTTGGTATTCCAGCTTAAGTTCCCGGCTTCCGACTGTTTCGGTTGAATTTCCATCGCATTGGTTCATTTTCGTAAACTCGTATGTCACGATTATGTTTGCGAACCCGATTTTGTTTTCGCCTAAAAATATATAGAAACAGAAACGGAAAATGAGTTTTCCGTCTGTTCTCGTTCGTTTTCATCCCTACCTATGAGAACTCTCATATGTGGCACATTTGGTATGAACACAATGTCGTAAGTTCAGATGACATATGAATTATTATTCAACCTATTATTGAGTTGTACACACCAGCTAGTTTAACTTAAAATCTTAAGTGAGCACTTCACTTTTATTTCAACACCGTGCACATGTGCAGTCTCGCGTATGATTCAAATGTAGAAATAAAATGAGCATACATGATGTTCTAATTAGTTGCATCTGTCCAGATTTGAAGAATATGTTATGATACTTGAACACTCTCGAAAGTCCACGGTAACATCTCAAGGGTGACAAGGTATGGTGTGTTGATTAGAGAACGAAGCAGGGATCTTGCTTTCCTAGTACTAGTAGATATAAAAACGACCTTGGCGAGAGCAACTGTCACTGACAGGCTCACAGCGTACATGGCTAGCTGAACGAACTGCTGAGCCAGGCAGGCAGAGCAGATTGCTAGCCAAAGAAGCAGTGGATCGGAGGACTAGTCGCCCACCGCCCCGGCGCGTACGTAGGCCGTGAGCTCTTGATCGGGGTCGCGTCCCTTTACCAGAATACATGGAAATGGAAAGCAGACGAGACACCGGCCGGACGGCCGGCCTCTCCAACTCCAAGCATATTGGCAGCCGCCAGCGCTCGCGTGGCTCCACTCATTGCAGCACGGCACAGCAGCAGCACACCACCACCCCCGTAGGCCGTTGGCCACTTGGCCGTTGGTGCCTTGGTGGCCTGGCCTGCGGGCAGCAGCGGCCTTGGCAAATGGCAACGCAAATCTCTCCACGGTCCAAGGATCGGAGGGCGCGGGACCGGGCGGTCAAAAGAGGCTATCGATCCCCCGGGCCCCCGGCGGCCCAAACATTCCTCCGTCATGTCTCTGCATGCGGCAGCGGGATGGATACGCTGCCAGCGGCCAGTGGCCAGTGGCAGGCCATCTCAAAAGCCGGAAAAACAAAGAATAAGGCCAACAAGGCCAAGCCAGCGCATCGGCTGGCGATCCTACGACGAGCCACTGGTCTTTGCCTGCCTGTCCGGTGTCCGGCTAGCTGTGCCTCCTCAGTCCTCACCATTCACCCAGCCACCCAGGGGATAGCGACACGTCCCTGAGAACACAAACCTGGTTCCCAAGAGTGTTTGGACTCTCGGTCGCGGGCAGCCGGCCGGGCAGGGCAGAGCCGCGGCAGCAGCCAGCAGCCAGCAGGGAGATAGCGACCGATCGCGTCCGGTTTGGGAACGGAGGAGAGCACTGTCGTAGGCCCGGGGCCGAATCCAGCTTTGTTCCATGCAGGAGACGGACCGGAGACCGGACCGGAAGGGAAGGGACCCTCACCTCACATGACATGGTCTCTTTCGCTTCTGTCCTCCGGGGCCACTCGATTAACAAGGATATCCCATTCCGTTCCGTTCAAAGGGCAAAAGGAAAAAGGCCAAAGACACAATCGAATCATCGCCGCCGCGTATGTACTGCCTGTGCACTTCGATCGATCTCCTATTCTCCTCCTAGTACTGATCTCGGCGTGTAAGTGACTGTGTTCACGTCGTCCATTACTGCACAGTCTACAATTTGATCCAAAGCGAGAAGCGCAAAAGCGAAATATATTCCACGTCAAGGGACCAGAACCAAATCAATGAGGGTGTGCTCTTGAATATACATAACCTGCGATGGATATTTAATTAACTAGAGCTTTCGTCAAACGGTAGTGCTAGGGCCCGGACGTCCGAACGGATGCCCGCGCGCTGTACTCCGTTTCGCGCTCCACGTGGGGCCCACGCCTCCTGAGCGACAAGATGGGAAGGGCATGCGGTGCCTCTGATTCGGAAGGACCCGGCCACGGCGTCGTATGGATGCCCTGCCGGCGCCGGGAGAGACGATACATCAGAAGGTAGGGAGGAGAGATGCAACACCCGATCAAACATCCAAATACAACAGTTGCAATATATGTCTGAAGGCAGTTGAAACATGCTTGTGAAACACTCGAAAAACACCTGAAAACACTTGAAAACCATTGCAACCATACGCAACATCCAAATAAAATACATGCAACGTATGTGTGAAACATAAGCAACATCCACGTAAACACACTTGCAACATGCGTTCGCAAAAACACAGATGAAACATGCATCTGAAACATCTGAAACACTCGAAACATATGCTTGCAACATGCCTCTGAAACAAATGCAGCATATGCAACCTGTGCAACATCCCTAGATATCCTTTTGAAACATCCATATGAAACAAATGCAACATACATCTGAAACGCCTAAAACACTTGAAACGTATATATACAACATAGGGGGGGAGGATGGGGCGGTCGATTCCGGCAGCTGGGGTGGGGAGCTCGGTCGCCATGGTGAGAGAGGGCGCCGCCGGGTGTGGGGAGGGCGCCGCGTCACCTCCATGGATCTCACTCGTGCTCCATGGATCTCGCCGGGTGTGGGGGACAGGACCACCAGATCCGTGGGCGTTGGGCGCTCCCGGTGGGTGAGGACGCCGGGGTGGGTGGAGGGGCGCTGCTGGGGTAGGGGAGGAGGCCGTCGGACAAACGAGGTGAGATGGCTGGGGCGTGATGCGGGATGGTGGTGTGGCGTAGGATTGGGGCCGGCGCGCCGCGGGATGGGATGCAATGGAGGATGGCCGTTGTGCCGAGGCAGAGTGGGTGCGAGCGGACGCCGCGGTGGGCGGATTGCGCGGTGGATGCGGCCACTATGGACGGACGACTTCGTGGAAGTAGTGGTTGCGACCGAACGAGAGGGTGGGGAAATGTTACAGTACTTAGGGAATTGCCTGGGCCGGTTCCAGGCCCATTAAGTGAAGCGTCCGTCCGCCGGACGCCCTGACCTATCATTATCATTTGTCAAAAGAATGTGGGCTGTGGCTTACACTTATATCAAGATCAGGACTAAAAAAAAGAACAAAGGGTGTTTCCTAGGTGAGGATAGTGGAGGTCACACCCGTCCAATTGCGATCACTGGCAGGGACAACAACCAGACGAACGGTGTTGGTCTTGTCACTGACTGTTTCTACTGCTGCTTTCTCACCTCTCAGTCTGGGTCAGGCTGCCTCGTTGGCACCAACAGAAGCATCATATGCAGCGAAATCATTGGTGCCATGCCGCAGGAACGTAGTACTCCTACTACGCATGCAGCCATCAAGCCTGCTTCTGCTCGTACCAGCCACGGCTATTTTAGTGCAAACTCGGCATGCTAATCATCAGTTTGCTCAGGCCCGCAGTGTAGGCCCCTGCAGACAAGATGAATACCACTCCTGGATCGATCGCTTTGCCCTTGCTGCCGGCAATGCAGTAGGAGTACTGCTCTTTTGGAACTTCCCTGTCTTAGCTTCCTCGGTTGTCACACTCTGCTCTGCTCTGCTCTCTGCGCCTGTGTTTCAATGTTTCATGGGCTGATCATGACTAGACCCTGGTGTTCCTGATTTGTACTTTTTGAGCGAACCAACAAAGGAGCGAGAAGCCAAAGCCAGTCGACAGACAGCAATGTGCCCTCGCCACACATCTGCCTCCACCACATAGCATCAATCGGCATCATTGGATCGAACTCCAAAGCTAGCAGCAGAATCTACATATATATAACATCGTCATGAGGGAGTTAGTTGCAGATAGCCAGGATCATACACAACACACGCACTCTCTTCCTTCAGCACTACGGCCTGTCAGTCGTCACTCGCCTCTGCCGCTTGCTTTCTCAGTTGCTTGCACCCAAGAACCATACATATCCCTTTCGTATATTCTCTCTGCATCGATCAGCCTTTGCATAGATCTCCCTTTAAAACCGCCGCCATCTCTGCAGCATCGACAGGGAGGGCGCTAGCGTTATGGAGAGATAGCAGTTAGTTGCAGGTAATCACAGCTTGCAATTTGCAAGAGAGATCGAAAGCTTTGCAAGTGACTAGGTAGTTAGCTTATACAGTAGAAGGTAGTGTGTGATCACTGATCACTGATCACCTCAAAACAGAAGCAGCAACAGCAATGGGCAGAAGGTTGGCCTTGCTCATCTGTGTGGCGCTCTTGTCCGCGGCAATGGCGAACGGCACCAGGCCTGCCGCAGGGACTGTTGGCGGCGCCGCCACCGCTCCTCCTGCTAGCCCTGTTGTCGCAACAACGCCGACTACTGCTGGTGTAGTTAGGACGCGCCGCCGGCGGCGGCGGCGGACAGACAACAAGAGGAAGGTGCCCAACGGACCTGATCCTATTCATAACAGGTACTGATCTCGTTTAATATAAGTAGTGCCTTATATAGTGTACTAGAACATATATAATCATTGTTGCACCTATATATGCTTCTAATTACATTTAGTACTGCAAATTAAACCTCTGGACAGAGCTTTGCTTGTAGTAAAGAATGCATGCGTTTTTACCAGTCACGGGCCGGCTCACAGCCGCATCATGACAGCCATATATCGCCTCCATTTGGTTCTGGCTAGCTAATACAGTCACCGTGTCTAAGAGCTTCATCTTGCAAATACATTCCAAAGGTTTGCGTTTGCAAGATGAACCTGCTCTGGCAGTTTATATCATCAGAAAACGACGTTTGGCTAGATAGTGTACGTGGGGACCAAAGAAATGGCGTCACAAACATAGTAGTAGTACCCTCTGAAAAGAAGAGCTACTGTTCGCTTGTCTTATAAGTCGTATTTTTTCAGCCAACGAACAGTATTTTTCTCTCACAACAAATCAGCCAACAGTACTTTCAGCCATGGCTTATCAGCCAAGCGAACAGGGTATACGCCTCGATGTTTGCGCTCGTCGAGACCAGGCAAATATATAGGCAAGTAGTGATTGATACTCACATGCAACAAGGAGTAGATAGCATATGAAAGAAACAACAAATGATTGCACAACAAGTAATACTACAGATCGATCATGCAGTGTATAGAATATCTTGGCAACCACATGCATGTATATGGGCCCCATTCAACACTGACCTCGCTCGATTCACCGGTGCAAATTTTTTTGCCCTGTCCTAATCATCATTCGCTTGATGCTGTATTTTCAGGAGAGCGAGATGGGGAGAAGCACCGTCGAAGAGAGTGTAGGGTGGCGACGATGCAGCAGTACTATACAGAGGCTAAAGAGCGAGCGAGCACATTGATGCGTGGAGGAATGGAATGGAAGGTTCCATAGGTCACTCTTGCTAGCTGATGGCCATGGTGGTGGTGGTGGTGCTCATGATGGTCGACGTCTCGACGACGATGACCCGAGTGAAGACACTTATATATGTGTGCATGTATTAGAGGGTGAGAAAGGAGCTGGGAGACCAAGATCGCAAGGTCATACGCGTACAGGATGGTACGGTGGCCGGTCTTCACTTTGGCCAAAGTGATCGATCTGGATCTTCTGATATCTCTCGATGAGGTTTTTGATGTTCTTCTCTCTTTTTCTTTTCTTCTTTAATTTGGGAGGGGGTGTCAACGGTGTTAAAAGGAGCACACTAGTCCTCAACTCCAATCACTCACATAGAGAGTACGAGTAAAGCTCACACAATGCTCGAATATTGATGAACAAAAGAGTATGAATTCTTGGCACATACATATTTATTAATTTTATTTAGCATGCGGTTTGGCTTTCCTTGTTCCCGATGATCATCACTTTAAACGACTGGGTGTGTGTGTGTGTGTGTGTTGCTTTGAAAGGGCTGAAAGAGGCAACAAATCCCATCCACATGACATGACCACATCACCTCACGCATGCATGTACAAGTCAGTAGTCAGTAGTCACCAATCGAGTAAGGCGAACTGATCATTGGGAAGCTAGGGACGAACCAGGAACGTTTCTGGCAGAGGTTCATGTCGATCCAAAGCGCCGGCCGCCTTGGTTACGTTCTTGGGCGTAGTGGCCACTGGCGCCGGCTCCGGCCTCGGCGTCGGTGTCGGCCTCCTTTGTTCGACGGCATCGGCATTGGCGTTACCTTGCTTTGGCCACTTTCGCACGCTGCAGGCAGCATCTCATGTCTTTAGTCTAGCTAGTTTTGCTTTATCTTTTGCTGCCGCTGCTGCTATCGAGTCACGCATTTTGAGGATTCCGTGCTGATCGCACGCGTTCTATCCCAAGGAAAGGATATGGTCATATGGATGCTGATGAATGATGAGTGGGGGAGGAGAGGACTACTACTGATCGAGAGTCGAGACCACTGCGAATCGTCGGCGCACTCATCGATGGCCGGCGCCCTAGCCGGGGTGACAAACAAGTCTGCTGCTACCTGATTTGCTACAAGGAAAAAACTATTACGAGTTCAGTTTCAGCTGCATGCATGGGAAATTGGGAATTACTGGTATTTAGCCCATGTCCCTTGCAGTGCCGGCCCTACATTTTGGAGAGCTATGCTAGGGCAAACCTGACGCCCTGGGCCCTTAAGATTGTTACTAGCAAATATGCTCGTCCGTTGCAATCAAACTTACATTTTATTATGCATTCACAGGAATGACTTGTGGTTTAGAGATTTATGCAATAGTCGCGTTATCTATTCCAATATGTATCGGAATCAAACTTCATATCGTCACTAGACGTACTAACACGTGTGTTTCTAATTTGTATGAGCACGGATCGTGAGTCCGGATCAGATACTAATTAGGAGAGATGACAAGGCACTTTTGAAAGTAAAAAAAAAGACGGGTAGAAGAATCATTTTGCTCTTTAATATTAGATATTTATAGTATAGATATAGATGTACAATCTCTGTCCAAAAAAGGATGCATTTCTGGGTTTGGATTAAGTCAAACTTCCATAAGTTTAACTAAGTTTATAGAAAATATTATTAATACTTATTATAACTCTAAATAGATATATTATAAAAAAATTATGATTAATCTAATGATACTTATTCATTATCATATCATTAGTGCTTATATATATATATATATATATATATATATATATATATATATATATATATATAAAGTCAAACTTAAAATTATTTGACCCTCAAAAAGTGAGAAATGCATTTTTTTTAGTAGCAGGAGTACATTTTCACTCTCAAAGTGTACATTTTGTACCATTCATATTGGAATAATGGGACAAATGAATCTTGATGAGACAACCCAGGTAATAAGAATTAACTTTCAATGACATATTCTTAGTTCTTGACCACTAAGAACAATGTCATCATTTCATTTATTGTTAACAAAAACTAAAAAACAGATGTTTGAGTTGAAACGAAAAAGGCAAACAAACCAAAGGGCTGAGAAAATTATTCGTTTTATAAAACAGGTGGCATGCAAAGGGCCAAAAGCATCGGGTTAAACCCTAACCAATGGATCTTTGAATTGAGGAATTATAAGACTAGCAAACTAAACCGGTTGCAATTAGTATGGAACAAGAAACAAAAAACTTACTAGTTCTAGAAGTTTGTCGTCACTTCAATTTTGGGAAAGAGCACCTAGTGAAAGTCAAGTTTAAGTTTTGGGAATTAATGGTAACATTTGTGGAATAAAAAATTCATGTAAGATGGAAGGTTAAGTGTAGTCCACAAGCAACCATGTGATGCAAAAACTCAACAATGTGAAGAGGCAGCTAAGAAACGATGAGGTAGAAGACAATGTGAAGACAAAGGTATATTCACATAGCTTTCTCTTTCACCGGCATGAGGTGATTAGATAAGTAACAATGGCCAGATTGATAGGATAGATAGCCGTACTATTAAGACGGACGATCAGACTAACTCGACCTTCAGCACTCCGATGGGTGCACTCCAATGTCCACCGGAGAGCTCCGGTGTTGGTGTAAACCCTCCACCTTGCTCCTTTTCTCAAACATGGGATAACCAACACACCTTTAGCACTAAGATAGTATTTTCAAATCACTTTTCACTGGTTTTCACTTACTTTTCACATCACTCAATCTTAATGCAAATGCAAGGTTTGATCTCACCTAGCGGCACTAGGTAACCGTATTAGCAATGAGCTTTTCCCTCTTAATAGTATGACTATCTATCCAAACAACCTGGCTAAAATCATTTGTCTAATCACCTCATGGCCGATGAAAACAAACCCTATATTATACCTTTATCTTTTGTTGGATTTGTTTTCATCTCGTCCGTTCCAAAGCTTACATCTCTTCCCATTCACCTTTTTGAGATTTTCCATGTCATGATCCCTGTCATCTCGTCTCCATAGCCTTATATAGCTCAACCTTGCTTGTGGACTAATCATGACATGTTATCTCACATGAAACATGTTAGTCCACTAATGTTGTCTTAATTATCAAAAGCAAAACATATCTTTTAAAGTTACTACCAATAGAACCCTAGGAACAAGCGATAATTGTTAATACTCTCATAGGGCCTAAAATCCCTTTTTACATATAACACCATCCCTACCATATACACCTCTACCACTTTAAACCACCTCCACACAACCTCTAGTAATTACCTCACCCCAAAGTTAGGGCTTGTTGAGTACTTTAAGTATTCACCTGTTATTGACTCATGGATATAAACCCTGAGAGGAAGGCTTCAACATCGACGAGGAGGTGCACCATAAGGATTAGAAGCCACGCGAAGACCAACGAACCTGCCAAATGTTCTTAGTGTGTAAGGTTTCGAACACGCTTAAGCATGCCTGTGGAATAAAGTGGCTCTACGCTATAGTTCCATTGTAGTAGTTTAACACCCTGGAGTAAGTGGTCGATCGCTCCACGGTGGTAGCTTTCCGTTGAGTTATAGTAGTTTCCCTGTTTGATATATAAGGCCTATGGTTATGCCACATGAGACTTGACTATTGTAAGACTCTGCTTTCGTGATGAGTAAAGCTCGGAATTTATTTTAAATATGTTCACAATACCTATTCCTTTATTTCCTGTACGTATTTGTGCTTGATACTGGCACAAATATAGATGCGCTAGGATTCTCAAAAGTGAGGCCCCCCTACACAAGGGTGGTTGTTTTCTAGAAGGCTTAATAGTACTTTTTGTGTTTTCTTTGTGGTTTAGCTTTTTGAGAGCTTCTTAGGCAGACGAGGGCTGAAACTTTAATAAAAGATTGGCCGTGTGTAAAACTCATGTAGAGACCAGAATAGCTTTTTTTTTATAAAAAAAATAGTAGACCTAGTTATGTGCCAGCTGCCAATGCCACTGGGACTCTGGGAGGAATAAAATTTCCCGTTTAATGACGATCCAGCAGCAGTCCAGCTAACTTTGGGCCAGAAGCAAGCTTGGTTTCCTGTCATTGCCAAACCTCAAACTGGGCCGCGCTAGGTGCAAGTGCAACACAAACATGTAACACGGATACAGCCCGGTCCAAAGCGCAGGCGCGATCCGACGGGGTGAAAAAAGTGTGCAACGGCAACGGCTTCATCGGGGAAGTAAACACGACATGGTGACTCGTGCAGGGCATAGTGGCATACCGTGACAATCCCGTGCCGGAACAGGCAGGACACAGCAGCACAGTAGGATACTATTACTAGGATCGGAGGAGCCAGGTCGCCGACGCCGCCGAACCGCGCGCAGGAACCTTTCCGCCCCCGCTGACGCCAAATTGACGATGGTCGCCGTCCTGCCGGTACATTGCCGTTGACCGTTGCTCTGCTCAAGGCCACGTTTAGTTCCACCAAAATCTAAATTTTAGCACTATATAAAAAGAAAATTTCCTGTTACATTAAATTTGTGGTACATGCATGGAGTACTAAATATTGACGAAATGAAAAATTAATTACACAGTTTAGTTGTACTTTGCGAGACGAACGTTTTGAGCCTAATTAGTCAATGTTTAGACAATTATTACCAAATACAAACGAAATGCTACAATGAGCTACATGGTGCAACAGTAAATTTGGCGACGCTAAATTGGACGAACTAAACATGGGCCAAACCAAGATTGGTATCCTTACCGGCGGACAACTTGATTGCTCTGGTCAGCCAGGGTTCTGTAGTTCTCTCGCTCACGATGGAAAAAAAAAGGGCATTGCTGTACTGACTGTACAATGTACCTCTCATGACGTCAAGCTGACGGAGATCACACTACTGAGATCACACTACTACAGAAATTAACTGTAGCGGTGGCTCTAGAGTCTCTGTAGGGGTGGCTGGTCGGCCACCCTTCTTC